TTTTTTTTTTTTTTTTTTTCATGACCATAAAAAAATAAAATAAATAAAAATTTTGGTCTATATTTAAAAAGTTTTTTATCTTTATTTTTTGTTCTATTTATGCGATTATCAATAACGCATTAAGATACACATCTTTTTTTTTTTATTATTATTTATATATTATTCTTTTTTACATATATGATAATAATATCATGGAATCGATGATCAATATTTTTCGTCGTTCGTTCTTTTTAAGACAAACTCTTTTTACTATTAAATTTTATCATATATTTCCTTTATTTGATCTAATATCTGATGAATTAGATAAAATTTTGGAATTGAAATTTAAAGATAAAAAAATTAATATTATCATTATAAATGATGAAAACAAACAATCAACAAATGAAAATAATTTAAATAATTTAAATCTTCCTATTGAAGATTCTTATGATTTGGATGATATAATGGGTACAAATTATATAAAACGTAATCCAAGAAGAAAATTTCCTTTTACTAATAAATCTTTAAATGATCAATGTTTTAATATTATTCCAAAATTAAATTCTTTTGATGATTTATCCTCTTCAGAATCTCAAGATTTATCTTCTGAAATTTTAAATTCAAAAGTTATTTTAACTTCCGAATTACCTCCTCTTCAGGAGAATATCATCCAAATCTCTTCCGTTGAACCGGAATCAATTTGTAATACGTTAGTAGTTGAACAAATCTCATCGGAACAAAATGTTGAATCCGACATAAAAATGAAAAGTGATAACATTTCTCAGTCTGTAAAAATATTTACTGAATATGAAGATTCAACAGTTACACCGCTGAAAATTGAATATACTGACCTGAAAACAACAACAACAGAAGCAACAGAAAAAGCAAAAGAAGTAACAGCAATAGCAACAACAGAAGAATCAACATCAATAGCAACAACAGAAGCAACAGAAAAAGTAACAATAGAAGAAGTAACAGCAATAGCAACAACAGAAGAATCAGCATCAATAGCAACAACAGAGGAAAAAGCAGTAACAGCAACAACAGAAGAAACAACAGTAGCATCAACAACAGATGAATCATCAGCAACAGCGACAACAGCGACAACAACAACAACTACTACTGCGCCTACCACACCTATTACACCTACTGCTACATCCACTAAGCTCATAAAAACTGACGTCCTAATAGAAGAAATGTTGCCTAAAGAAGGTACGGAAGAAACAACGGTAACAACAACAACAGAAGAAGCAACAGTAGCATCAACAACAGAAGAAACAACATTAGCATCAACAACAGAAGAAACATCAGCAACAGCGATAACAGCGACAACAACAATTACTACTACTGCGCCTACACTAGTAACGCCTACTATTACACCCACTAAGCCCATAAAAAATGACGTCCTAATAGAACAAATGTTGCCTAAAGAAGTTACGGAAGAAATAATAGCAACAGCAAAAACAGCGACGACGACCACTATTACTATTGCGCCTACCACTCCTACTAATAAGCTCATAAAAAATTACGTCCTAATAGAAGAAATACCATCTAAAGAAGTTATTACATCACAAGAAATTATTATATCACTTACATCACGAGAAGTTGTTACACAGGAAATTATTACATCACGAGAGGTTATTACGCCACAAAAAGATATTACATCAACTAAATCAATTACATCACAAGAAATGATTACATCAAAAGAAATTGTAATATCGTTAAAGGACAAACGTGTTACTTCGCAAGTTCCACTATCATTTAACGCGAACATTCCTATTGATATATTTATTGAAATATGTTATCATTTACCTCCAACATCATTGTTTTCTTTAATGTGTGTTTGTAAACAATTTCGGTTTTGGTTAAATTCTTCAGTCTCTTATATAACACAGGATATTTGGCGCACTTCAAGAATGAAATATCTTGAAAGAATAAAATTACGTCCACCGGTTGGAATGGATGAATTATCATACATAAAGTTAGCGATGCTAGAACATGGATGTCAATTTTGTGGAACGAAAGATGAAACACCTAAAGTATATTGGGCCTTTCGCGTGAGATGCTGTTTAGCATGTCTCAAAAAACGAGTAACAAGGTAAGGTATATTATTTGTTATAACTCGTTAATTCATTTCTAAAAAATTATAAATTTTAATTCATTCTTTTTTTTTTTTTATTTTAATAAAAAGTCCAGAGAATCTTCCTAAATGGGCAAAGTCACCTGTTGATATTACAATGCTTGTGTCATACGAAACTATTGATTCGTTCGATTCAAATGGTAAAACTGTCATTTATTGGAATTCACAATTAGAACAAACACGTCGAGAATGTATGTCTACTCCACCAAAACATCGTAGCGCATGGATACAGAAGAAAAAACATTGGGTATCAGAAATGCTTAAAGAAGTTGTAAAACGAGAAAGAATTGATGAATTATATTGTAGAAAACAATCATTGGAAGATGAAAGAATATTTAGGACTCTTTTAGATGAATTTCGACAAATTAAAGATGAAAAAGGTCAACAAAGGTATATTGATAAATATATCTTACAATTACCAACTTATCTTGAAGGCCAAAATACTTGGAAGATTCCATTTATGACAAATCCATGGCCAAATTTTATTGATAGACTAAAAATTGAATATCCAAAGATTATTAATAAAGTGACTAGAATTCAACAATTAACTGATACTATGTTAACACTTATTACATCGTATGTTACTTTAGCGTCCGACTTAAAAGTTTCATCAGAACAAGGATATCAGATTTACTTAACAGATCCTGTTATAGATTGTATTCAATGGTGTCCGTCATTTATTAATCCTCCATACGTAAAAAATGATGCGAGCATTCCTTGGACCGAAGAATATTTGATTAAAACTTTAATACCAAAGCTTCGTAGAGAAGCTCGACGATTATTAAAGCGTTCAGATATAAAACGACCTGGACCATTTACAAGTGTGAGAGGATGTAAAAATTTAATTAAAAATGAGGTCGAGGATAAAGAATATTTCATGTGTAAATTATGTTGGAAATCTGCAAGAAAAATATACACTTATGAAGGAATTTGTAGACATTTAACAAGTGGAAGACATTCTATTGCTAGGATTGACGATGAAAGAATGATTGAAGTAGATAGAGAGAAGGTTAAAAAACTTTTACCTGTTTGGTTCTCTAATTTTCATTAAAAAGACAAATAGTGGAATTTTTTGTGAACAAATAACATTTTTTTTTTGTAAATTATCTATTTTCTTCTTTTGGTTTAATTTTTAGGTGGGAAAAAATTTGTAAAAAATGAACATTTTTGGACATTATTAAAATTTCCTCTTTTAATGCATAACATTTTGGATTTGGTTAGTAAATGTTAGAAAAATAGTTTAGATCATTAACGTGATATTGTTATTGATACATACTTTAACGATATAATATCGTTACGATATGTTGTAATATTGTTACATATTATTTTAACGATATGTTATAATATTATTGCATATTTTTAACATGTTATACATGTTATTATATTGTTACATATTTTTGTTACATATTTTAACATGTTATTATATTGTTGCATATATTTTATCATACCCTATAATGCCCTCCGCTACGGAATTTGAAAATGATAAATGATTTTTTCTTATACTGTTACTGTATGTATATCCATATATCTTAATATCTTAATATGTATGTATCTAAAAAAAAATAAATGAGGAATAAAAAAATAAAAATCATACATAAATGTTATTTGTATTATTTAAACTTATAAAATGATAATCTAATTATAATAATTCTCAACTTATTATACTAAAATTATAAAATGTTTTGTATTCTAAAATTTAAATTATAATGAGGAGGACGTCTAATAACAGAAATTAATTCAGGATTATGAGTTATTTCTAACTTAATTAATTCTTTAATAGAATTTTTTAATTCATCTTCAATTTCTAATTTAAATTTGTTTAATAATTTATAACCACTAGTTTTAAAAGGTTTTAAAATATATTCAATATGTTCAATATTGTTATTAGAAAATTCCTTATAATTATTATTAGTATAAGAATAAAATGATATATCAAGATTTTCTTTTAAATTCCAAGCTGTTTCATAAATACAAGATTTTAATGATTCAATAAAATCTTTTAATAAATCATTAATTTGTGGGAATGATTTACGTTGTAAAAATGAATTTGGTGATGAAGAAGATATATTATAAATATTTGGTAAATTATAAGAAATTTGAAAAAAATCTAATTCAAATCTTAATTCTTGTTTTGTTATAAAATTATTATTTTCTTCTTCTAACCAAAAAATTTTACCAGTACGATAATATTCCATTATATAATGAAATGCTTTACCATTCCGATCAAAAAAATATTCATTTTTATTAGGTTTAAGAAGTTCCTCATTTCTTTCTTGAAACATTGTACCAAGTAAAGTATCTGGATAAGCTGTTAATGTTGACCTATAAGTTTCGTACTATTATGATCCCACATATACAATATATATAAAATATATATAAATATAGATTATATAGATTAACTTTGCAAATCAAACTTTATTATTCTTATTTACCTTGATACCACCAATGTTCAAAACGATTCTCTCATCTTTATTTTGAGAAGACATTTTTTCTTTATATTTAAAGATGGTTAATGAAAAAGCAAAATTAACTTTATATTAAAGATGATTTAACGAAAAAACAAAAAAAAAAGGGTAAAAAAAAAAAAAAGATCGCCTAATAAATCGAACCGTTCGATGGAAAACGTCAAAATGTACATTGATCCAAATTAAGTAAGATAATGTGATTATGCTATTTAGAAATTTCGTTTTAATGCAAAACACGGGTACACAAATTTTAGTTACAATGGCGTTAAAAAAGCATTTTTAAAGAGATTACCAACACTATAACAATAACATATAAGTCTACCAACACTTTATATGCTATATATGTCTTTTTTTTCGGAATAACGTTATTCAGAGTACGAGACTTTTCTTGTTGGAATTCCTTTGGTTTGTTCTTTATTGAATTGAGCTGCCAGTTACACAAATAAAAAAAAAGGTATATATTATCAGTAATAGTGTAAAATTTTATAGAAAAAATATATAAATTTTTACTAATTTATTATTAAATTTTTTAAAAAATTATAATACATGTTACATTAAAACTTTAATTACACTATGTTACAGCAATTTACTCTCATAATTAACATATATATGCAACAATTATAACGTATTTTTCTATAATAATGTTACAAATAATCAATCTCATAGTACAGTAATTCCTAAGTGCAGAAGTGCAGATTGCGTCATTACACTTTTTTTTCCGTAGACTGTACCAGAAGTGTGGCTATTATATAACCGATGCCAGTGTTTTCTCGATAAACCGGTAAAAAATTTTTAATCTTGGTATTTGGTTTATTTACAAATTATTAATAAAATTAAAATTGGATTTGGACCAGGGCCTTTAAGTCCAAACCAGAGAACTAAAGCATTAAAGACAATGATTGTCGTAATAAAAGATGAATTTAAATGCATCATTTTTTGTTGGACAATCGATTATCAGTCTATCATGATAAACGAAATAATATTTCTTTTTACTAATGTAAGAAAGTAAAATTATTTCTTGTGTGAAATTATTCGACAAATAATAAAGTTTTTGTATTTCTTTCATGTGGGGTTGCATCATATTTGTCTCACGTGTCATTCCGACGGCGTTTATTTTGGAATTCTATTTGTATGTCCCCGGGCGCCACAATTTCTAAATTGTTCATTAAACTTTAAGTTTGTTTTCTTTTTAAAAAAAAAATGCAAGTATTATTAAAAGAAAAATTAAATACATTCAATGAAATACTTTTTTTTTTTTCTTTCTGAAAAGAATTTTTTTTTCGAATTATTTAAAAAATTCTCACACACTTATCTCGTCGGGGTTCAAATTCCGGTTATCTAAAGTTTATCTTTATGTTTCAAGTAATGCATAACTAAACCAAAAATGTAATATCATTTACTATATTACATAATAATATTTCAATAAACGCGAATTTGTAAAAAAATTTCAAAATTTTTCGTAAAATTTCATTTGAACATGACGTTTTTACTATCATTCAATGAACATGTTAAAACCGACAATACCCGATAAAACCGATAAAACGTGTAAATTTATGATACGCGCAAATAACTGGTTAGGCGCTCAGACACTCGAAAATCTTGTAAATTATTCAAAGTCCGAACTCCGGAAATCAAGTTTTTTGTTTATTCCTTCATTATAATATATATAGATTAAGTCATTGTTTTATTCTCATTGTTCAAAATAAAATAATGAGCTTCTTAATTTGTTTAATTTGTATATCGTTAAACTGTTTCACTAATTTAATCTTGTAACTGATAAAAATCCTTCACACGCGTTGAGGTTTTGACTTATAAAGTTAATCGGATTAAATATTTTTTTGATAATTTTTATTAATAGTCATTATATATTTTATTTCACATCATTTCATTTCGTTTCATTTTTATGCATTTGATGCAATTTTTTTAAATTATTAAAAAAAAAAAAATTTCTTTTTTAAGATTAATTAAACTAAAAACGTGCTTTTAGAAATGCGTGAACATTCATGCATGCCTATTTTTTCATTTGCCGTCTCTCGTGATATGATAGTAAACGCGCTGCAAAGAAACCTAATAAACCTAATACAAATTATCTTTTTTTTTTTATCAATAAATTACCTCCCGTTTTTTCAATTGATGCCCGAATGTTTTGACTAAAAACTTTCATTGTTTTTCCTTTAGAAACTTTCATTCATTAAAATGTATATATTGTATTATTTAATAAACTGTTATTATTATTATTATTATGTAAAAACTTTCGCGAATTCAGGTTTTGGTATTTTGGCTTATTGTAAACATTGACGCATAAGAAATGTATCAGAACAAAGAAATTTTTTGGTACCATTTTAACTTTTTTTTAGATATTCATTTATAAAATTTTTTTTTTTTTTTTTTTTTTTTTTTTTTCCTCTTTTTTTTTTTTGCTGCAGGATTACCATTTTTATTTATTCAAAAGTAAATACAAGAATTTTGACTAATTATAATAATCTGAAACTGTAGAGGGATCAACAACATACTTTATACTTTGATGCATTACCAAAATAAATATGATTTTTGGGCGTTCATACTGCAAAGCAAGCATTTTAAATTTAAAATATTTTTTTTTTTTTTCTAGGGGTTATATCCAAATACGATTAATCATGTACTGTACTATAATTTTTTCCATTTTTAATATAATGATATTTACAAACAAAATTTCTAAAAGAAAAATTTTATGTGGCGGAGTAACAGAGCAGATTAAATTTTTTTAATATAAATAAAACGTTCTCTTTATTCATGACTCGATATACATTTCAAATTTTATATTATATTATTTTGCACCCACTGCCATTCCATTCATTACCCATTTTCAACCGTCATGGATTCAAGAGAGAGAGTTGCGCAATTGTTGTACGCGAACGTGCAAAATAATGCAAACCCCAACCCCCCTGCTGTAACCGCTGCATTGAACCAAGTTCAACCGTTAGCGCCACCTACTCTTACTCCTTTAGACCTTTTAACAGCAAATATTATTAATTATCGCAATTGGCAACAGTTTGACGGAATGAAAGTGTACAAATACGCATGTATGTTACGAGCTCAAAATCAGAGACTTAGCTACCCTTTCCACACAATTACTCATATTGCGGTACAGTTGTGGAACAATTCCGAACCAGATAACATAAAACAAGTTTATAGGGATATTGCTGAAGAAACAGCTCGTATGTACGAATTTCATCATAGACGAATGAACAAGTAAGAATTTATAATTTAATATAAAAAAAATATTTAAAAATCAAAACCAATCATTATTAATTATCATTTTTAATTATTAGTAATTAAACATTGTGCAACTCTTCGCATTCTAAATACTTTGACATAATACAACAACATTCCTTGAACAGAACCTAATTTTTTTTTATATATACAGTCTAACCTCGATATACTGATATTCGATATACCGATATACTATTAAATTTTATTTTCCCATTCCCACTATATATGAGAACATATAAATATCGGTATATCTTTAATATAACGATATTTTCTAAAAATTTCATTTCATTTATGTCCCGACATATGACTGTACATATATAAATTTTTTTTTTTTTTAATTTTTTATAACATATTATTTTTTATTTTTTGTATTATATACCGTACATTGTACGTAATATAACTGTAACAGTAATACTGAATTATTTGTATTTTGTATATAAAATTAATAAAAGTGATTACATAGTTACAATGGATCGATAAATATGCATTGTTATGTTCATTGTTTTTATTGGAATGAGTATCCATTTTTGACTCTGTTTTTTGATAAGCTCATTACCATATAAGTAAGTTTTAAATATCGTTATTTTTTCAGCTCTTGAAGATGTATGTGCACACATAAATGTTGCCTTATTCAAGTAATTTTATTGTTCAAAGTTTACTCGTCATTTTTTTTTGGATAATTTAACAAAGTGTATTTTTTATTTTATTTTATTTATTTTATTTAAAAAAAATTAAGACAATGACGGGAGTCATACAAACTTGGGAGCTAGGCCCTTACAAAAGGAACAACTACACTACACCTATATTTAGTAATAACCCGACTAAGAGATTTAGGCTGGCCCAACATAGTAGTATTTAACGAGTATTATTATACTAGTATAGTGAATAAAATCATTAGTATGTGAGGTCATGTGATATCAAAGTTATAATTACGGCTTGAAATAAAATATGATCAATGTTATGGGTCAAAAAAGACGACTGTAATTTTACTGTAATTTTACTCGTGGATTCAAGGAGGCCGTAATTACTACAATAGTATTTGCAGGTACTACAGATATTATAACTTTACTCAACGCATATGATAATGATATAAGTATTGTTGTATATATGAAAGTCTTAAATTAGAATATTCCATTATTCGAATTTTTTTTTTTTTTATAAAAAATATTAGCGTTATATATTAAATTTTAATCAGATATAAATAATTTTTATTATACATAAAATGACGCATACATTAAAATGACGCATACATTAGCACGATTAGCACGATTAGAAACGGTCTCAATTTATTAGTCCTCTGTAAATGATGATGATTGAAAAATAAAGTGACGTATAATTTTCTAGTCACCGGATGGAAATTCTATGAATTTCCACTACGATATTTCTCGAACTATCTAATGTTTTCGCAAATATGAACAATATGGATATTAAATACACAGTTCAAATACTACCATACTTTAACGAAAAGACTCTTTTTAGACAATGTTTTATTATTAAAATTTTCTTACTTTAAAAGAAAACCTTAAAATTTGGTAATTAATTGTATATATCATGAACCAATCATAATTACAAAAATAATAATGTAACCATAAATTAAAGACAAAGAAATTATATAATATATTTTATGCTATCGAAAAAATTATTTTTATTTTATTCTATATTATTTTTTTGATATTTAAAATAAAAAAGTCTAGTAGAAAATGCGATAAAGCACTCATCGTATACATCGTATAGTAAACGCGTTGTCTCGAAACATGTGATTCTACTGAAATAGACCAATCCAGATAATTCTTTTATCAAATCTGAGTAATTAATTATTTAAACAACATAATTTACGTAAAATAACTTATGCTCTTTAAAAATATTATTAGATATTTTTATGGTTCATTTTGAGGAAAAAAAAAAGAAAAAAAAATTCTCATAAAAAATTATCTCGCATATTAGATTATTTTCGGCCGGTTATCAAAAGTTTATCTTTTGTTTCAAGTATGTAAGCTGGTTTTTTTAAAGCTAAATTAAAATATGATATCATTAAAACAAGTTTTATGTATTTAATATAATATTTTTAATACGATGAAAAAAAAAATTCCGAAATTTTCAAAAACTTCGCATGCACGTGCCGACTTTTTTTATTATATAATATATGTATATATAAAAAAATAAAATAAAATAAGGAAAGTATTATTATATATAATATTGCATGATAAAAAAAAAAAATTCTCATTACAGTTATCAAATAACAATTCAAAAACGGTTAGAACAAAAGTTTATCTTTCATGCAATGTTTTGAAACACTGATTCTTTTGGAAATAAATGAATGGTAGATGCAACCATTCATGGACATACTTATTATATTGTTAATTGTATAAATCTTTTTAAATTTATGACACGCTCAAGAAATTTATTGGATGTTTGGATATACGAAAAGTCCATTATCCCCTTTTAAAATACTAATAGAATTATTCATTGTTTATTTCCATTGTTCAAATTTACAAGCACATGAATAATGAGATTTTTTTTTCGTTAAAACTGCTTCACATCTCGTAACTGATAATAATACTCACAAGTTCACAAGAATTCCAAGAATTCTTAAGTATTGTACATAAGAACATGAAGAAACAGTTTTCTATTGGCTTATAAATGAAGATTTTCGTTAACTTTGTTAAATTATTTTAAAATAATTTATTAATAGTCATTCATGATTTTATAAACCTATATTTTTTTTTATATATACATATAAAATAATTTTAATAATTTTTTTTTTTAAAAAATAAAATTTTAATTATACTAAAAATGTGCTTTTTGAATAATTATTAGCTAATATGCTGACATTCATGCATGCTTATTATATCATTTACCGTCTCTCACGATGTGAAAGTAAACGCATGAAGAAAATTTATTGATATACTGCAGAATTACTTTTGACATTTAACGTGAATTTCTAAAAACAAAAAGAAATTTTTTTTTTTTATGGGATTCCCGAATGCGAGTTATCTTTTAATCTTTTTTTAAAAAATTTACATCCCGGTTTTCAAATGATTTGCGGAATGTTTTGGCATAATTTTTTTTTTTGGAACTTGATGAAAGTACATTCATTACATACTTATTGTGTAAATAACTGTTGTTATTACTATATAAGCTTTCGCGACTTAATGTTTTGGAATTTTGGCTTAAACATTGACGCAAAGAAACGTACATATACCGTATTAGAACAATGAAAATTTTGATGGATTATTTTAAATTTTTTTTTTTTGGATAATCTCTTTTTTTTTGCTGCAAGTTATATTTTTCAAGAAACAAAAATTATCTAATAATAATATTCTGAAACATTAAGAAACGGTAGCTAGATCAACATCACACTTTTTTTCTCTTTTATGCATTACTAAATAAATTGAAGTTGGGCGTTCTTAACTGCATATACAGGCCTGGCAGACTTTTAAAATTTTAATTGCATGAATGACCATAATTCTTTCCATTTTTTGATATTATTAAATTTTTAAAGAAATTGTATATTGAAGTAACAGAACAGATTAAATTTTTTTTTTTTTTTTTTTATAAACAAAACGTTCTCTTTTAATCATGACTCCGTTAATAAATTTTCTTAGAGATTTGGACATACTTTTATTATTTTTTTATTACAAACTCATAAACACTCATTAAATACTCGACTGCCAACACTCTTTAGATACTATGGATGTGGATAATGGATTTGAAAGCTTTAAACAATTATTATCGTCAACTGTTCTCGTCGTGAATCCACCAAACAACACCCCCTTCGTAGAACTTGACCGAGTTCGGCCATTGACTCCACCTTCCGCCCTTGACCTTGTACCAGAAGATATCGCGGGTTATCGCGATTCAAAACAATTTTACGGTATGAAGGTTTATCGACGCGCTTGCATTCTACGAGCTCAAGACCAGGGCCTGACCTTATTACCCTCCGAAATTTCTTTGATGGCCTCCAATTTATGGCGCAATGAATCAGCCGCCATAAAACAAGTGTATATTGATATTGCTGTAGAAGCTGCTCATATAAACAATTACCACAATGGACAATTCCCAGAACATGTAAGAATTTATTCTTTAATACAGAAATTATTTAAATATAAAAAAAAAATATAAATATAATTAATTATACTTTAATTATTAGAAATGTGAAGGATGTCCAAATCACAACCACAACGCTTAGTGTCATTGAAATTAGACATCAAACTACCAAACTACCGATAAATCCTAGCTGAAACTTTTCATCATCCACGTTCACCTTTTTTTTTTTGTATTCTTATATTATATTATTTCACGTAAACACTTTTTTCTTTCTCATTTAAGTTAGAATGGGTTGCCCCTGAAATCATTATACATATAACTTCCATTATATTATATAGTAGTACTACTGGAGATGCATAATAAATAGTAGTACCGAATTTTTTGTAAATAATAAATAAAAGTGTTTAATACGTTTAAATTGTAAAATATTGTGCCATTGTTATTTTTACCATTGTTTTTATGAAATGACTACATTAATTGACTTCATGTTTGGTAAGTTCATTACCATATAAGAAAGTTTTAAATGCAATTATTTCGATTGAAATATTTTCTTTCTATGAATCATATTTGGCCTTAAAATTCACGTACATGATTAACAAGCGTACTATAATGAATATGATCGTTAATTACGAAAAAAATGGGAGACAAAACAATTTTTACCTTTGATTCCAGGAAATATTATGCTGGCCGGAATTATAATAATGTTTGCCTGTACTACAGATACTCGAATACAGGCTTAAAAAAAAATTGACGACTATCTAGAGTGTATTAATTTTATTCATATGTATTGCCCATAAAAAATTTTTCAGAAAATGATCACGTGTCTGAGTTTCTTCGGAATAAAACTAGTTTTTTCCAGAATTTTTTTTATAAGGTATATTCAATTATGTAATCAAATAAAATCACAACCTAGACTGGAAATTCATAATTTTAGTATTGTCGTGATGGTTACACACGCGCACTTTCAGATAGTCCAAGATAGTCAAAGAGAATTGTTCATAAATTTACACAATTTACGCAATTTACGCAATTTACGCATAAGTTTTACTTTTCATGTAATTTAATTTAGTCACATTAGATTAAAGTAAAATTATGATTGTATATGAAAAACCCTCGAAAATAAAAGAATATTCCGTTATTCAAATTTTTTTTAAAAAAACTTTTTTATCAAAAATTCTTTTATAACTCAACAAAATAAAAATAATGCAAATTTTACTTATATTAGACATAAAAAATAATGCATATTATTAACATGACCAGGAATTAAATTTTTCATATTTCTAAAATGACCTTTTCCTTCGTTATAATGTTATACTGTACATTTTTTTTTTTATTTTTTTATTTTTGATATATAAGAAGAAAAATATGTAAAAGAATATAAGAAAAACAATCCTTTCTAAAGAAATTACCCCATAAAAAATTTTCTGGATAAATGACCATTTTTCTAGTTTTGTTTCGAAAAAACTCCGACATATAATCAATTTTCTAAAAAATTTTTTTATAGGGATATTTGGCAGAAAAAAAAAATAATAAAGAATCGAGTTATGGTAAGTTTTAAGCGTTAATCAATTACATTAAAAAGTTCGGATTTGCGTCAGATGACGCCGGCCTACATTATCAGCATTACTGCACGTTAACAGTCATCTGACATCACATTACTAGGGCAATTTGCCGATCAAATAAACCCCCTGCAAAAATTTCGTATCGAATGTGACATTATTAAGAGTTTAATTGAAGTTTTAATTAATTTAACGATCGTTAAAATAATTTAAAAGTTAAATAATTAGTAAATATTTCTTTTCCTTTGATTTACTTATAAAATAATGACAAATGATGACATGTCCTACGACTCGCGTAAAATTAAAGACAAACTTCGTCTTTGAACGGAACTTTAATAATATGGACATTAATTGAACCTCCAAATTACGTATATTTTATACATTATAATATGACTAATATGACTAAAGGCAAAAGTTAAATATAAACAATTTGGTAATAACACTTTAACAAAAATTAACAAAAGCGAATAAATGCTATAAATAATAAAATTTAACATCGGTTCATACATATTATAGCATATATTCTTCAATGTATCTATTGTTGCTGAATTAACCAAATCTTTTAAAAAACTTGTATCCACCTGATCACGATGAAGCAACATTGATGGAAGAGCGATAATGATAAGAGAAAAGGTGAGGGAAAGGGCGAGAGATAGAGTGGGACGTCCAAATTAACTTGCTATATATTTTCTTTGGTCGTTATTCATTGAAACCTTTTATAATAACGTTACACGAACTACGAATAATTTTTTTTCACATGAATTAATGTAACAAAAAAAATTATATTATTGGTTATTAAATTTCGATAAAAGAAATCACTTGTCAAGATATATAAAATATATAAATTACAGCTAGATATTATTATTCGATAATGAGAAATCTTTGTTAACGGTCGACAAATGAAAAAAATAAGTATATAAAGAAGATGTGGACAAGTTGACGAAAGAGTTTAACTTCTTGAAGAATAAAATGGATTTTTCAGAAATTTTAGAAGACGTTCAACGAACAATGCCTGAAGAAGTGGTTGAACATTTTTTTAATAAATTTTCAAAACAAATTTAGTTCCATTGAAATTATTAAGTTTGTATGTATTAAAAACATAAATACACGCAGTGATTAAAATGTAATTATTCAAATTTCCTTTTGGCATAAATGTTTATGCCGCCGAAAAATTATTTTTATTTAATGTAGTAAGGAATCTATTAAGTGTGATAATAACTAACCAAAGTTCTTAGTTGTACATGTCGTTCTCGGAAATCAATCTTCAAATTTATGAGAAGAAACAAAAAACACAACAATGTAAAATTTCGTTAAAATCGTGCGCGCTAGTTCACGTGATTACGTGTTTGCAAAACATTAAACCTTTATAGGAAGTTTTAAAAGACATAATAGAATGATAATTTATTTTATTGAAATTTACGCAATTTCTTAAGTAAATAACGTAATTTTACAATTTGAATTTTTACCTGCTCGTTACATAATATATTTAGACCGGATTTTGTCATAAAAAGAAATTTAGATGCTTCTATGGTTCATTCAAAAGTATTCTGAAAAAGAATTCCACTTATGATTTATCTCGCGTATCAGATTTTTGGATACCGAATTTGGTATCAAAAGTTTATTTCATGTTTCAAGTGATGCAAGATGTCTATTGAGGGCTGAACTAAAAATGGGACATTTTTAATTGTTATTTTTCGAAAAAAATTAAATGAAATGTGGGGCATTTCATTTATGACATGCTTATTAAATTGTTAACCGCTCATTGATAATTTACAATACAGGGATTGTTGGGCGTTATCATAAATACTATAAATGGGTTTTTTGCTAGGAAAATGACCTTTTGAGATTTTTTTTAGCTAAATTTTAAAGTTAATCTCATTTTAGTTTATTTGCTGTAAAAAATAAAGAACAATAAAAATCTCAATTTTTATTGAAAAATCCTCAGAAGGTCATTTTTCTAGCAAATGACCCAAATGTAAATATGTTAGTTATTATTTTATGCATGAATATTTTCACACGAAAGAAAAAAAAAAATTTAATAAAAATCTAGAACGATTTTATCGCGAATAATAATAATAAACATCAAAACGCCGCAATTCCGAATTCCGAAAAACAAGTTTTAGTTATCTTTTTTATCACTCGTTCCAATAATGTAATTAAATAATTATTGTCTTATTTATTTTCATTGTTCAAATATGTATATGAATTGCTTAATCTGTTAACATACATAATTACTGTAATAACTCTAAATTACACGCGTATAAAAATAAGATTACCGTTAACGCTTTACATTTCGCTTTAGTAAATATGAGGTATTTTGCATTTAAAAAAAAGAATTTTTTAAAAGTTTATTATTTTATTTTTTAATTTATTATATAAAAAAAACACTTTCTTTCGCGCACGAAAACTTTAAGAAAATAATTTTCTTGCGAATTTCGGAATTTAACATTCCGAAAATTTAGTCATATCATTATCTCGCCTTTTCAAATTATGCCAGAAGTATATTTTTAGTATTTTCATATTATGCGGACATTCATTGCATTCTTATTATATCATTAACCGTTCTTAATAATTACGCGCAAAGAACCTGTTGTTAATGTTTATAAATGTAAACAAATGCAAAAAAATTCTTTCTGATATGTGTGGAAAATATTAAAAGATTTCACAAGTCACAACATTTTAAATGTTTCAAAAAAAATTAATTCATTGTTTCAATTTGACATCCGGTAATTTCTGAAAATGGTAATATAATGAAATGAAATTCATTTGTACACTAATCATATTGAAGTCTCATATTTGTATTGACAAATANAAAAAAAAAAAAAATAGGTACTTATTTTTCAAATGAAATGTGGGAAATTTTGATTAAAGCGTGTCAATTTAGTTTTTTACCCCAATCACCTCAATTTACCCCATCGAGTTTTTTTTTATTTCTTATTGTGTTGTCCAATAATTTTTATTATATAATCCACGAATCAAAATTTTATGGAACTTTGGCTTGAAATTTGACGCAATCGATACATTTGATAACAGTATTAAACAAAGAAAATTACAATATATTGATTTAAAGATATTCATTGAAGTTGTTTGTTTTGATGCACGTCCGTTTTTAATTGTTTGAAAGTAAAAAGACAAGTAACAAGTAAGAATTAAATTATCTAATGTCATTTTCAACCGTGAAAGAAACGGTAATCGGATCAACAGTACGCTTTTACTTTCAAAAACTACTAAATTAATTTTGTAGTTGGGCGTCAAAACTGCATCTAACAGCATATACATTAAACAAGCAGCTAAAAACTTGAATTTTTTCATAATATTTTTTTTTTTTAGGAATCTCAAGTACATTTTTGATAATATTGATTGCATTATCATATTATTACCATATTTTTTTCCTTTTTTGATGTTAAAAAGAAATCATATAGCGATATATGAAATAATGATAGATTTAATTTTTGTTATATAAACGAATTAAATGAATTGAACAATCGAAAATTTTTATTGCAATAAATTTATGAACGCGTTCGTAACAAATTAATTTTTGCATTGTGCTATCTACTAACCATGGAAGCACATAACTCAGCAATAGACCAACTCAACCATGAACTCGACAGACTAAAAGAACTTCTTCGACCACCTCCCCCACAGGCTCCACCAAATACCTCCAGGATTATATCCCCAGAAGCCAAAATTCATGCTAAATTCCGTAACATGAAAAATATCCGTGGCTTTGGACCTTATGTCGATGCTTGTAATGAACAAGCAAGAATTCATGGACTTAACTTCTCTTCAAACTATATTCGCTCCATAGCAGCTATGTTATGGAGTAAGGAACCTTCTTTTATAAGGGAGTTCTACATAACAGCCGCCAGGGATGCGAGCGTTGTTATTCGTAAACATAAAACTCAATTTCTTTCGGAAGCGGAACATCACGTACGAATTTATTTTAATAATATGAAATATTCAATAATCATTATAACTAATTAAAACTTTATTTTTTAGAAGTGTTCCGAAATATGCAATTGCCACTAATAACACTTATTTAACGAATTGGTTATTGTTGAGTATTAATTTTACTTTTAATATATAAAAATACGAAAATTCTCTTTTATAGAATTAGAGTATTGGTTTGTGGGAATGAGTGGTAAATTTAAACAAATACAGCACATTCTTTTATTAGAATTAGAAAACTGAACACAATATTACATTCTTTTATGATATTTAGAAAGGTTGTTAATAACTTTTGTCTCTCTTTAATCAACATACACGTAAATTTTTTTTTTTTTTTTTTTTTTTTTTAAAAAAAAAAATAATGAAAAAAAAAAAATAATGCAACCACGTGATACCGTATCGTAAGTTATCGTGTCTAGAGAGCGAATTGTAACATTCGGTCTGATGCGTAAATTAAATAATTACATTGTTATCTTACCATTGTTTTTACGGAACGATAATTTCCTAATTTCCATTTTTGTATCTATTGAATTTAAAATATCATATGTTTTGTTTTTTAGCCAATACCATATTAGAAATACTTATTCACATAAATTTCAAATGTATAAGCATTCAGCCGAATTATTTTCGGGGAATAGCATTCTCAGGGGGGAAAAGGAAATTTTGATTACCATAAAATTCATACATATAATGAACTTTTTAGTAGTTTTTTTTTACAACCTGATAAATGAACACTTGACCGGAATTCTGTTTCCGCTGGTGACACTACTTACCTATGATTGTCGCACATCTGCAATAAAATTCATTGGACAGACATAACTTTACTGTCAATCACATGTATATTTAATTATTTGATGCACTATCGTTCAATCATCACATGATTTAACCCTTTTAATGAACGCCTTAGAAACTCAGAAATCGTTGAAGAAATGTTATAAAGAAACTTTAATAATAATTTTTTAGCCCATTTAATCAGCCTCAACATTTTACTTTTGATTCGATAATTTTTTCGATTTATAACCAAATTTTCGGGTATTCATTTGGTTTCGCTAATCTTACCTTAAATGAGTAGATCTATGATGTCATAATGACGACATATATGAGAAAATTAAATTTGGTAGAGAGCATTTCGTCATTATTTCCCAGTGTCATTTTTTTTTGATAACTGATAATAAAACAAATATATTTATTAATTTTTTAAAATTAAAACTGAACATTATTTATAACTTTTTTAAAAAAATCATTTTTTTTATTTTTAATTTTTATTTTTTTTTTAAAAAAAAAAACTAGATTAAGAAAGGAAAAGCTAATAAAATTTCTGTTCTAATATATATTAAGGGAATTAATTAAAAAAGGGAATAAATTATAATCATAAGAACATCTTTCGTAAAGAATGTTATTTACATAGTAAGTGAGAGGGGATAGATTATATATATATTTATAATAATATACTAATATTTTTTTTTTTTTTTTTTTTTTTTAAANCTTATTTACAGCATAATCATGTGACAGTTTGAACAAAAGATTATCTTAAAGATTTAAAACGGTATATTAAATATGGCGTATTTATGCAACATATTAAACTCCCATAATTGAAAAAAGGATGAAGCATAATTTTTTTTTTTTTGTCTTTTCACCAAGTAAATGGTTTTAATTGGCTCGAAGACAATTACTCTTTTTTTTTTTGATTTTAATAAATAAATATATATATATATAATGAATATTTTCATTATTTTAAATGTTTTTTAAAATTTTTCGTGACCGTCCTGCGATAAAAAGATATTACGATATTTTATAGACATTGCAAAGAAATATTGATATTATAAACGATCGCTTTTTTTTATCCTTTATATGCAGGAGTATCAGGGAAAGAAGAATTCGCATTTTGAAAATCATTAGAATTTGCTTCGTTTTCAAGATTTTTCAAAATTTTATTTTCTTTGCTTTCATTTTGTTCCTTCAATTCGATTTTAGGAATTTTCTGCTCTTTATCACGATTACCGAATAAACGAACTCCTAATTGAGAGGAGAAACAAAGCAATTCATCGACGCTCATTTTAGATAAATTGACCGAACCAAAAGCGGACGGGGAGGGAGAATTGGTTTTTTGAATCAAAGCTGTCGCTTTGACAGTTTTATTAAGTTTTTCAACTAAACTTTCAATTCTTTCAAATCTAGCATTCAAAATATTGATATAATCATTATTTTGATCACATTTATAACAATTTTCACTGTTTATTTTATTCCTATTATAAGGGTAAGTATTCGCTCTTCTTGATTGTCTTCTATTTGATGATGGTGATCGTCTTGATTGTTCATTTTTCAATGATTTTACGATATTCATTTTTGATTGCATTTTTTTTTTAAGAGGAAAAAATTTTTTTTTTTAAGAAAAGTGTGAAGAGGTACCAAATAATTGCTTCTGATATATTATTTAGAATTTGCAGATAAAATTTTTAAATCTTTCTTTTTTTTTTTTTTATCTTTGACTTGTAACTTGCTTATTGAATTTTTGAAAATGGGGGGATGCGTATTTATAGTTTTTTGCTATATTCATGTGTAACAAATGTAGTAACTGACGTTACATGTAACATCATATTTTTATTAATAGTTGCTGATCCTTCCAAATTTGAGATCATTCTATATTTTTAAATAGTATAAAATAAATTATAATAAATAAATATATTATTTATATATAAAAAAAAAATTAGATAACAAAAAAAAATTATTTCACCATAATAATAAAAATGATATTCTAAACCGAAAGGAATATTATATTTAATAATATCCCGCGTGAAAAAATAATTAAGCGTGAAAAAAATATTCGAGTACCGAACTATAAATAAAATAAATGAAAAAAAAAAATTTTTTATCTTTCCTTGTATTGTAAAAACTAACAATTCCGATTGTTTTTTTTGCGGAAATAAATCCCGACAAAAAAAATCAATAATATTTAAAATATTATATTATATTGTCGGGAATTTGAACACATTTCGGTATTTACCAGATGATTTTCAAACGATGTGCTGTCTTACGATTATTTATGATTGGATGAGATTTTAAATGTCCTTTATAAACAAATTGATCTGGAAAATACCAAGAAAAAGTTTGTCTTGGCAATCAAAAAGTACTTTAATCGTATCCATTGTTTGACTTATTTTTGGAAATTGAGTTTAGTATGTTTACGATCAAGTTGATATTCTGGAGCGTCAAAGTGGCGGATAAAGCCTCATTTTCACGTGATTTTTGGCTCATGGATTTTTCTAGCGTTTTAAGAAACTTTCTAGCATTTGACCAAAATAGGAAATCAACAAAATTTAATTAAACCTTTTGTCTACCTTGATGAGAAATAAAAACCTTTAATTAAAATAGACCATTTTACCCCGTTTTAGAATCCCCTGTTAGAGAAGCAAGATTATTTCATCATTTTAATGCCCTATTTTTTTTTTTGAACCGAAACTAATTTTCGAAACTAAACTCAATTATTACTCAGCAAAAAAGTAATACAATTTTGTTCGGTTCAGAATGTTTGAGATGTTTTGAAGCAAAAATCATGAAAGTCACGACATTATTTTGCATAATACGGATTTGCGGAAATTTTTCGCTGTCGGTTATTTGACATTTGTGCACTAATTTAGTAGTCCCCTATAGTTCCCGATTATTTTTGATAACAATGATATTCGTGATCTTCATGTGGCAAAGTGGCTTAAATTTATTTTCCAAATATAGTAACAAAAGCGGATTGGTATGAGGCTCATATGGCTCATAATTTATTTTTGATACCAATTGTGGCAGACAATTGTGGCTTGATTGGGGTGATGCATGATCCATGTGATGCTATATTGATAATGGCTCATTTCACATGAAAAAAAAGGAGAAAGAAAGAAATTAAGGAAAGAGAAAACGGTTTATAATAACAAATGAGAAAATTAAGGAAAATTTTAAAAAGTATATTTCAATGAAGCGAAACTAAAACATGTAAAATATGCGTTGAAAAAGCGAAAAGAAAAAAACAAAAATAATCCGAGAAGCGAAAGAAAAAAAAAATTTTGAGTTAAAACATTTCTCTTATCGTCATAAGCTTATCGGTTTGATTGTTTTGATTCCATCGTGGAAATACAAATTACTAAAATGGTAATTTCAATAATAATTTTTTTCTAAAAGATCCTTTCCAAATTAATCTATTATTGAAGTAAGATAATGTAATTATAACCGATATTTCTATTAAGAGTTTAAATGTACGACAAATACAACAGTATTCCAAAATTAGAAACCAATGACGTTTTGTTTGTTATTCGTTTCACTTTTATCCATCGGGCTTCGGTATAATTTCTTTTTTTTTAAAAAAAAAATGGATTTACATAATGAATCAGGAAAAGAAAAAATTCTTTTTTTTTCTGTTACAAGAAATTTTAAATTGTGTCATTATTTTTTTTTGAAAAAAAAAAAATTTTAATTATTATGTAAAAATCTAAAATAACGGAAAAATCAAATAATAAAATATTAATATCTCAACTGTTAATAAATGTTTTAAGTAAGTGCAATCAAAATTAAGGAAACGTGCTTTAGAAATGATTAAAATGGAAATGGGCTTTTTTATCCTTATTTTATTGGTTAATAAATTAATAATTTGATAATGAATAATTTAATTTAAAATCAATACTGCGATTAATTTTGGTATTACTAATCATGATAATGACTTTACTATTAAAATTTTAGCATGTAAATGTAGGTGTATTAAAAAAGAAATTTAAGCGCAATAAGCCACTTTTCAAATTTAAAAACTTTTTATAATTTTTTATTAATTGAAATTGATATAAACGGAAATTTTCTTGAAAATACAAAGTAAACATAAATAAAGATATTCATGTATTTCCCAAAAAGTTTTCCGAAATTGTCACACCTTTCTGGTGACAAATTGTAGATTTAAATAACGATGGCGTAGTAATGCTGTAGTATGCCATAAATGGCACATCCGGTGACTCGGAAAACTTTCGTAAGAGAATTGTATTTGAAAGGGTTTACGCGTAATATCCGTACGATATATTATATATGGGAGAATTTTTTTTTTGATTTTTTTATTAAACAGAAAAATAATAATAATAGAATAATAATAGTAAAAATTCCTGAAAAAAAAAAATTAAAAAAAAATTTCTTTCGAAAAAATTGACGCGAGAATCAAAAAAATAAATAAATAAATAAAATTAAAAATAAAACAAATAATTTTTTATTCTTTTCATTTCCGAAAATATTCTAGTAAATTCTTATTTTTCGTTTGTTAGTGGCTGTATCTAATCTGTACGGCATAGTTGACAGTTTACATTATTATTCATTATTATTTATTACATAATTAAATTATGAAATATCGGTAAAATTCTAAAAATAAAAAAATTTTCCCTTCATCAAATGAATAACAATGAATTTTTACATTCTATAAATACAACAATAAACCTTATTTTCCGTAGACATTTTCATTGGGGAAATATTTTACCTTTGATTTATTTTTATTAGACGATCTTTCATATAAATGGTCTTTTTTTTTTGATTAACCCTCAATTTTTAAACAAGTGTGGTGCAAATAATAACGCTACGTACATAAATTTGACAAATTGGGTATTAATAATTCGATTTTACTATATTTATCACAAAAAAAATTTCCTAAAAGGAAACAAAATAAGAAAAGATCTTCTCAATTATTTTTTATTGGTAGAATTATAAAAACAAATACACCGGCCGATGACCTTACTGATATTTTTATTTTTTTCTTCGAGGAAATTTTTTTGTCACAAGGAAAAAAAATGCATGCAATATAAAAAAAAAGAAGAAAAGAAATTATTAAAAAATAATTATTCATCTTTGTTATCATTTCAATTCGGGTCGGGTAATCCCAAATTCTCCTAATTCAACAACGTATTATTATTTGACTTTATTAAAAAAAAAAAGAAAAAAGAAAAAATCAAAGAAAGAGATAATATGGTAAAAGGAAATTTTAATCGTATTGTTTTTTTTTTTCTAGATTTTATTTACGTTGCAAATAAAAATGTTTTAAGTGTTATTATTAGGTTACAATTACATTAATTATAATTGTATACAAACATATCCCGCATTTGTATCACAATTTTTTTTTTTTTTTGCGATTTTTCTTTGATTTGCAAAAAACTTTTCTATTTATATCAGAAAACCAAAAAAAATGATTCGTTCATTTGTCAAATTAAATGCATCTAATTTAGTTGTGTCACAAGAAACATTTTTCGAAAAAAAAAAAATTTTTTTGACCATTTCGGTTCGGTTCGGTTCGGTTCGGGTAATTTATATACATTTTTTTTACTGTTAAACGGGAATTATCGTATTAGATAGTTTTTTAATATTTGCAGGAAATAATTTTACGGCGGATGAATGCAAATTATAGTAATTTGAACGTGATGTTTTATTTCTATAATTATTTTGCTTCAAATTTTTAAAAAAAAAATTTTTTTTTTTGCAATTCTTGTTTATTGTTTATTTAATATAGTTTTGATTGTTGTAATATTTATCGTAAAAATTTCTATAATAAAATCTTGTCGATAAGCGTAACTGGAATTTTCTTATTGCCTGCTTTATTTTACTTTTCACATATCCATTTTCACTTATTGTTCTTATTGTTCTAGTAATCTTAAACATGTTAATGAAATTATATTTTGTATTTATCATAGATACATAATCTTAAATAACAAAAATAGAATCATGTAATCAATAACTCTGTAATCGTTTTTTTTTTCATATTAAAAAAGCCAAGCATCTTTACACATACTAAATGCCGTCAATCGGACTCTGAACCTTAAAATTTACACATACCAAATACCGTCAAACCCTTAAAATTTACACGCTAAATGCCTGGCTGAAATTGTAGCTAATCTCTTAAATTGGATCATACCATTTATTGTTCTTAATATTTCTTATGAAGATCTTTAAATAAAATATTTTTTTTCCTAACTATGGGAAGTAGTTCTGAAATAGTTTTTAATAGAATAAAAAGCAAGTCCATACTTTTGTACGAACTTTTTAACCATATCATCCTCTATTTACAATAGATTTAATATGAGAATTTAAATTTTAGAAAAGATGTCCATATATCAAAGAAACTATATTGATAAAACAGTCATGCGTAAAAACACTTTGCTTTATTTATTTAAAAAAATATCCTATATATGAAAAAATAATGAAAATATCAGGAAGAATCCGAGTAATATGAAATAATCAACGTAACGTGTAAAAAAAGTCCAAGGTTGTTGCTCTGAGAAGTACATCTTATTATTAGGGACATAGAAAATGATACATCTTAAATTCTTATGAAAAAAAGTGATTTGTTAATAAAAAATATTTTTTTAGAAAAGTGAATAATTTTGCAATGATTATTGAAATCTTTTATTGAGTTATGTTGGGGTGGTTATCTTCAAGCAATCTCTTGACTTCGTCATACTGGATAAAGGAGGTCCTTAATTCATCAGATAAAGAGTTCCACAATTCATTCGCTTTCGCAACTCTTTCTTGTTGTGATATGTTTGGGAATTCTTCATCTAGAATTTTCTTGTAAAAACTATGGTAGTATGTTGAAAAGCCATATTGCCAATTTATTGTTTCATTAAGAGGGCGAAGCGGAAGTTGACGTTGACAGTCTTCCGAATGAGTAAGATAACCAAAGATATGTATACAATTGTTTTTATATTTTTTAATCCGTGCAAACGCGAGACATCCAACAAACTTGTAAATTTGTCTTGATTTTCGAGCTTTTGAGTTACCATTTTTTGGTCTTAAGCTTGCATCACTTCCACAACAACATTGTAAAAGACAAATACCCTTAGCTTTATTACTATAACGTACTTTCCATTTGCGCTCCGGCTTATTTTCAAGTATAAGATTATGCACCTTCAAGAAGGAAGTAGCATCGTTTTGTGACTCCCATTTTCTATCAGTAAACTTAGAAACTGGGAGAGAACATAATTGTTCTTTTTGTTTTTGGGTTAAAATAAGGTGTGAAGAAATTTTTAACATTTTAGATTGTAGGTCTCTGTGGTTATTGATTAAGAGTGAAAGCTTTTTTGTATTGAATTTTGGTTTCAAGTATGGAAATAATAGTATTTCATTCATTCCATACATAGAAAAATATACTACCTCAAAAATTTTCGAGTACACCAATTTTTCTTTAATTGATTTGTGATCCAAAATTCATCCTGATGTTCCTTTTTTTATCGTTAGATTGTGTGTAACCTAAATTAACCTATGTTTAAATTCAGAAATAAGGACCAACAACAACCCAATCGTTATATTCTCACGAGATTTTCACGTGATATTTATACATGCGATGATTTCCCCCAATAACACCATCAAATTTCACTATCACGTGACAGTGGAGAATATTCATCACAAGCTCTACTGTTCAGACATCCCTAACTCTTGGATTGCTTGTTTAAAATTAGCCATGATGATATTTTCTTACTTTTTATTTTACCACCAAACTGGGGATATGATTGAGCTGAAATACTTTGGTTAAAGTGTTGAATATTAACGATAAAAACAACCCATGAAAAAAAATTTCTAGACAAATCTGGATAATAGAACCAGACTAATACTATTCATCGGACAACTTCTGGATAAATAAAACTGGACAAATACTGGACATGAGAAAAATCCGGCTGGACAAATTCCGGACATGAAAAAATTCTGGACATATTCCAGACAATAGCTTTCAAAAATGGAAAAATTAAAAATTAAAAAAATGCAAAAAACACAAAACTGATGTTAAAAACCTCCCCCTGAGGTAATAAGTAAACTTGGAGAGCAACTAAAAATACTATCTATAATGTTAATTTAAACTTTGGATAATTGATAGTAAAGTCAGGTTACGGTGCATTTCGCCAAAACCCATTTCGCCGAAGCCAATTCGCCTTTCACCGAAGAGATATTTTGCAGAAAGAACATTTCACCGAAAGTGCATTTTATCGAATCTATTTCATCGAATCGTCCATTTCGTCGAAAATGGTAGCGATTAACATTTTATGAAAAATATTCATCGCGCAATGAAAATAAAAAAATAAATTATTTTTTTAGAGTTTTTTTTTCCAGGAAATTATCACTTTAATATTCAAGAATATTCAAGAAACTGATATTAATTTCAAGCAATAAATAACTTTGGAATCCTGAAAACATTTATTCATGAAAAAGTAAGTAAAAAAAGATTAATGTATTATTAACAACGAGATAAATTTAATAAATCCATTTAATTAAAAAATTTTTCTCAAATGGAATTGACATTTAATTGACTTTTAAAGTTTCTTTTACCAAAGATGACTATGCCAATTGCATGAATGCTTGAAAACTTTTATTACAGGCTACAATTTATTGTTGAGATTTAATAATATATCATATTTATCCATATGCTGTACAGTATCTTTACTCTTACAGTAGTTATATAGTAGTAATTCACGTCAAACGGTCAAAGTCTTCGAAACATTTCTGGAACTGCATGCTAACTTCCATCTACTATCGCATGCAGAACAAATCTAAAAATATAATTTTTCTTTAAAGCATTTATTTGAAACTGGTTATACAAATATTGTTAAAGAATCATACTAACTAATGTGATTGATAGAACGAGCAATTTAATTTGAAATGCACATGTTGGCGTTTACGGGCGGTTATAGAAGTAGATAGAAAATATTATTTAAATTCCTTGCTGCCAGTTTAACATGAGAAATACATTTATCAATTGTAATAATACTTTAGGAATTGCAGTATTGCACATAATGCTTTTTATAAACTTACTCATTATTTAAATGCTATAAAATAATATCTTATCCTTCTCCTAATTAATATTAAAAAAGGGAAAGTGTATGCATGCATGTATTTGTTGTGCTAATTAAATACAGTATAATAAATTTCATGCAATAATAATTATACTATATTAAGAGCTTACAATACTTTCGGCAAAACATTCTGTCAGTAAAATGGGAATTCGGTAAATTGGATTTGGTATCGGCAAATTTCCTGTTGGGAAAATAGCTTCGAAAAATAGAACCGTATTAAGATTTCACGGTTAGAAGAAGAAAATCAAAAGAAATTAAAAGAAGATATTCGAGATGTGGACGAAGTATTTATTTGTGATGAACGCGCCCTAAGTGTTATAAGAAAAACTGAAAAAGAGGGATGTGGGTAAAGTAATTAAGTGTGATGTACTCGCTCGAATAAAATACTTGTGACTGGCTGGTCGTATAATTACATGAAGAGAAACAAAATCTGGTAAAAAATTTTTTTTATTTTATTCATTTATTAGTTAATACTGTTATAGTAGGTTTGGTAAAAAGGTTAGTGTTTGATAACAAGTCAAAAACCAAAAACAACTAACGTTACACAAAGTTTAAAGTGCAAAACTCCAAAAAAAAGTCCCAAAAGAAATACTCCTAAAGAAGAAAAGTTAAAAAAATTAATAACTTGATAAATAAAAAATATCCAACATCATGAGAAACTTACCATTTTTAACAAAAGAAATCCAAAATAATGCATCCAAGCATCCCTAAAGGTATTTTGAAGTTTATTTCAAAGAAAAAGGACGAAATGCTTTAAAGCAATAGCCCATAAAAAAAAGAAGCGAGAAAAAAAAGAAGTGAAACTTAACCCATTCTTAAAGAGAGACGCTTTAAAGTGTATTTCAATGAAAAAAGGCGAGGTTTTCCAAAATAAAGGACCAAAAGAGAAATGAAATGAGAAAGCGAAAATGCTTTTGTGTAAATCAGTGAGGGCGTGAGGCTATGATATTGCATTATCGTGCCACTGCCACGTGGGTAAACGGGATAAGTATTGTAAACTCCTGGAACAGGTTACATTTTGGGATGTGATTTAAGTGATTCTCATTAAATTAATTGTTACTGTAAGAACTTTATTTTAACCATTTTCTAAATCATTGGCAAAAAGAATCAAAAAAATTACCTTCAATCTTACAACGGGAGACATCATACAACGCAACTGCCTAAACTCTTGCCTGATTTTAACTATCAAATGCCCTAACTGTCAACGAGAACAAGACAACAATTACCACCTGGGTCCCATAAAATACTAAAGTTAAAAACTAATAATAAATTTAAAAAATAATAAAATTGATAAAATTAAAAGCGTTTGAAACTGAATGCTAATATAAATCAAAAAAAGAATACTAAACTATATTAATTAAAGATAAAATAAAGAAAATATACTAGTACTATAAAAAAAATTTTGCTACCATATAAAGATGTAGTTAATTAGTATAAGTATGGTAATACAAATTAGTACGGACGCTCAAAAAAAAAAAAAATTTCAATTTTCCCGTACTCAGACGGGCCTTTAAAAATAAATTTACAATTGTAACATCATTTACTTGTTCTACTTGAAAATACATCGAATATATTATCAATATCCATATTTTCACTTTTACTACTACTTTACTGCTTTGAAGAAGAAAAATAATTGTATTTTTATCAAAAAGAGGCATTTAGAATAAAAAAGTTAGGTAATGATATTAATATAAAATTTAAGACCATATAAAGTTTCCCAACGTTTCAGATTTCGAATAATAAATTTGCCTAAACAATGATAAGATTTTTTATTACTTAAAATATGCTATAAAGTATAAACCAAGCTTTGCTTAAATTTCTAAAACCTCACTAACTTCTTAAAACCATACTGCACATTAAAAATGTTAGAAATAAATAAAGAATTGAAAATGAACATTAATTATATTAATATGTGTATCACTTTTTATTTCAAAGTAAAATCGGTTGGCCTGTCTTGGAAAATATATTCGAGTTTTGGTAAAACTATTTTGTTGATGATGTAACGAATGTGGTGATGAGTTAATTTTTTGTTTTTCATCACGTTATAATGTGCTGCTACTATTTGTTTCCCTTTTTGAATAGTGTGTTGATGACGGTCTTTTGCGTTGATGTATAATCCCAAGATTCTTTCCCCTTTGTTTGTAGCTGTTACAGGGGCGTCACAAAGTGTATTATTGATCGCGAGGGTAATAGTTTTTGGAGGGTTATGTTGGTTGGTCAGGATTTTGTATTTGCCAGATTAATTTTCACGTTAGTGAAATCATAGAATGAATTAGCAATTGACAATTTTTCTTCTATTTGTTTAATTGATGAACCGAACCAAGTGGTGTCGTCTAAATAACCGACAACAGAAGTACAGTACGAGTGAATGAGGTCATTGTCAACATGTTGCGCATTTCTTTTTTGAGTCGCCCATGTTGTATAATGTAGGGATTGAAGTTGGTTAATTCGATGGAACATTGGATCATAATAAATGTTCCATAAAAGCGGAGAAATCACTTCGCCTTGATCTATGCCTTGTAATACTGTTACATTACACAGAAAATTAGCGTTACGATTTGCCAAATTGACCATAACAATTTATCACGTGATTTATATACACCATACGGAATAAATTATATCCCCATTTCAATGACTAAATGATGCCTATAATTATTGTCCAATAATTATTTTTTATTATGTAGTTATTTTTAACACACACACATATATATATACAGAACACTTCAAGAAAAATAACTACATTTAACCGGGGGAAATTAACCGGTGGGCAGAATTACATAATTCTAAGTCAAACCATTACCAACTGGTTAATTTTCCCCGGTTAAGATTAGAAACACCCTTTATTTAAATACATAATAAACCGAAAATTTAATAAATACAAATAATAAATTTGCTAATTTTTTACTGGATGAACAGTATTCCGAAATGTTTGGTAAAAGGTAAATTATTTTTTATCAGTAGCGCAACATTTCGCGTTATTATTATTCGGACGATCTAATCCAGTAAAATTATTCAGAATTCAGGAGATTCAAAAATTGTAAGATACTATTAATTTCGTCAATTTCGTCCTTTGACATAAGCTTGTTATTACTTACGTCCCAAGCTTTGATTTCTTTTTCGAATCTCTCGGCATTAGTTTTTGTTACAAATTCATCATTTTCAATATCGTTACATTCTTCGGTTTTGGTTGCATATTGATCATTATTTTCAACATCGACTTCTTTAGTTTTGCATTCTGTTACATATTCGTAATTTTTAATTTCGTTTTCTTTAGCTTTGCGTTCTGTTGCATATTCGTAATTTTTAATTTCGTTTTTAGTTTTTTTACAATTATCAAGAACGTATGAAGGCTTTTGACGTTGGCAGTCTTTCGAGTGTATAAGGTGACCGGTAATGCCTATGCAATTATTTTTAAATTTTTTAATCCGCGCATACGCTAGACATCCAACAAACTTGTAAGTTTGTCTTGATTTTCGAGCTTTTGAGTTACCGTTTTTTGGTCTTAAGCTTGCATCAGTTCCACAACAACATTGTAAAAGACGGATACCCTTAGCTTTATTACTATAACGCACTTTCAATTTGCGTTTCGGTTCTTCAAGTATAAGTTCATGTTCCCTCAAGAATGAAGCGGCGTCGGTTTGTGACTCCCATTTTATATCAGTAAACCTAGAAACTGGGAGAGAACATAATTGTTCTTTTTGTTTTGGTGTTAAAATGAGGTGTGAAGGAATATCTACGTCCGACATTCAGAAAAAGTGAATGAAATTTGAAAATCGAGCCACACCACCTTTTTATCCAATCGTATAACTTGTGTTACGATATCACATGCCGATATCAGATTCAATAACAGATATAGTTATAATAAAGTATTTATATAATTGTATCTTATTAATTGAAAATATAAAGTTAGTTAGACTGCGTCATTTGTAAATATTGATAAACAAGTTGTGGCCCATATTTATTTTAGAATTTTAGATGCATTACTACACCAACCTCGGATGCCTTATCTTACCACACCACCCCCGGATGCCGATCGTTGATAAATTTTATCATAAAATAATGTTCGGCACTTTCACTTAACTTTCCTAAATTTGTTGGTTGTCTTGCATCTGTACGGATTAAAAATATATATATACAAAATAGCTATATTAATATTTTTGGTTATTTCAGGACTGCCAACGTCAACCATCATCTTTCACCTAATAAAACGATAAAATGGTAAAACAAAATTCAATTCATGGTCCATTACGTAATAATCTATCGAAAAAAAGTCATAAACCTCTTAATGGATATATCATTTTTTATAAGTTTTACAAGAAAATATTAGATAAGGAATACCCGAAATCAACATCGCAAAGTATAGCCGTTATAGCGGGTAGACGGTGGAGGGAATTACCCAACGACCTGAAAAATTCTTTTATCCAATTCGCAAATACCGAGCGACTTCTTCAAAATATTCGACCACAATTCGCTACAAGATTGATAATAAATTCTCATCATCATCATAAATCAAGATTGAGAGTAATTTTTGATGACCGTTGTTGTGAAAGTTTTAAAAGTTCGAATGAAATCACTTCAGAAGAAGATAGTGAATATTGTAGAATTTTCAATGAATTCATTGATTTGGACGCTTGTTTTTAAGCAATATTTGGCTATTTTTTTTTAATAATATTTAATGTTTTTAGAATTAATTGTTATTTGAGATTAAAATTTATATTTTCTTTCACATTTTGTATGATTTAAACTACTAGTATATTATTTATGTAATTCTTTAACCCAAATTCTAAGCAATCTTAAACCCATATTTTCAAATTCTTGTAGTAACAAACCCTAAAACTTTCTATATCCTATATCATCAATTATCATCCATTACACTACTCACATTTTAACTTAAATCGAACAAAATTCAATGCTGGTTGGCTGATAGATATAGCAAGTTATGTATAAATTATGTATAACTTGCAACAATAACTCTGTTACAAGACAATTATCACTATTATTAAACTATGTATTTTTACGTTTTAAAATAAATTATATTTAAATTTTATTAATTTTACGCTTTTTTTTCTTTCTTTTAACATATAAACACGCGATAAATTACCAATTGCAATGGGATAAATGATACCGTTTGCTGGCGAGCGAGATCAAATATAAATAAATATAGGGTAAAAAATGCAAGTATATACAAAAAGTGCATCCGTTTTTTTTATTTTGATTCCATCATAATTTTTAACATAGAATTCCTATCAGATATCTTTAGATGGGATTCCTGGTATGTTTTTTAAATGTTTACATTCATTATGCGTTCTCAATAGCAGGGATGTGTAAAGAATTGGAATATTGAAAGATGCCGATTTTGCAATGTCTTATGTGCATTGAAACTTCCAGTCAAAATTTTTGGACATTGGACAAAATTATTGAATATTCTCAACACTAAAATATTTCCTCAGTTAGTAGTTTAACACCAAATTCAAATATAGAAATGTTTGAACATTGGAATAAGAATTTGATAAGTCATCATGTACACAGCCAATCTTGCCCCTAGACGACAAATTGAAGCGTGCAAATAGGATTTCACAGCTTAAAAACGTGTCAGAGCTTTTTTGTGAACGGGACGCTATGGAAAGCTTAAATATGTCATATGATAATGCGCTTCCTGTAATCTTTCAATTAAAATTTATCGGAATTGGAAATAAATTGGGATTAGAAGATTTGGAAGTTCAAATATGCTTCTAAACTTCCAATAAACTTTATTGGAATTGGAAATAAGATTGAAATCAGGAAACTTATTTAGAAGCTGGAATAGGCCAAAAAAACTTAATTGGTTTAAAACCGGTTAATCAGGGCATTTAACCGGTATAACCAGTTAAATAACCGGCTATTATACAAGTTTCGCGCCCTTAAATTTTGGCATATTAATTTAAACTTAAAATAATTTAAATATAATAAACAGTATGTATTTGCCGTTATAAACCAAATATACTATAACTAATAATAACCAATTCACGTGGTTTTTTTTTAATTACACATTTAAGATTTTTTAAATTATAATCCTTTAGATTTTTTTTAAAGTATGAATTATAAATTATATAATAATTTTATAGTAAAATTTTTAAGGGCAGAATTTGATTCTCATTAGAAATTTTTTCATATATAAAACAGATATCTTAAAATGAATCAGATTTTAGGATGCTAATATAACTAAAATATGCCATATTAAATAGTTTTATCTTTTATTAATTTATTTCATGAATAAATACTGTTACATTTGGAAAAGCTCATCAACTTTCATTAAATTGTTAGTCCTTCTCATCCAGATGATGATTTAGAAAGATATTCAACATTTACTGACGTTAATTGCTAGAATGTTATTATGATGCATATAAATGATTGATGGTTAGTTTAATTATTTAAAAATATCACAAGCAAATACATATAAAAACAATTTACAGTATTTGCCGGTCCGATTTTTTTTTTAAGATTAGTAATATTCTCTTCGAACTATTTTTTTTAGTTCAACTTATTAAAAGCAAAGTTAGTTGTAACAATTATGCGGTCATTTTAAAAACTGAATCAGTAGTAAAATTTATAGAAATAAATAGTTAAATTTAAAAATTTTGCAATTGTGCAATTGAAGTTTTTATTTTTTTATGTTCCTCATAAATTAATTATTTATTCTTAATATTCACTGAAATTATAATATTACTGAGTTCTTGAAAGTTATAGTAAAAGAAAAAAATACATAACAGGATTATGTATTTGCCGCGTCGAGCACGTTATTCACGTGATTTATTGTGACGCAGGCAGAATTTAATATATAAACGAACCCTCCGGTTCACTGAAAAATTTCGCTATATTAAAATTTATACACTTGATCGTGGAATTCAATAATCGTTATATCAAGTTCTGACTGTAACTCGCATTTTATACCTTGAGGCTTAAGCTCCCCATCCAATCTTCCTATTCTAAAGTCTATTATCTCAGGTAATGAGGTAAGTGGTGAACCTAAGTAATTCCAAATTCCAAAGATAAGATTTCAGGCACATTAATAAACTTAGTATAGCAATTATTAAAATTTTTTATATTATTATTAATATTATTATTTTAAAAATAATAAATTTTATTCAATTGATAATAGATTTCAAATTCATTAAATTTGTTAACTCCAAATGGAAGTGTACGAACAGGCTTAAATAACCAAGGACACAGAGATTAAAATTCATCTTCCCAATTTTATATAATCATTCTGATTACTAAAATAGATTTGTTTCTGTCAAGGTGATATATATATCCCGCTAAAGATGGACCCTGATATGTTCTTTTGGGTATCGCACTTTATTGAAATTCTACTTCAGAAATTTATGTAGATCAATAAAACGCAATAACATAATTGTTGAATCAATTATGCTAGAGAACTGCTTAACTACTACATGAAGAGTCTCAACGAGAAGTTATAATTCGTCTTCCTACAATCACCGGATAGCAAGTACTAATTAATTTTCTTTGATTTTAACCAATCAGAAAAGAACTAAAAATTGGAACCGATTTAACAGTTCGGTCTTTATACAGTATATATCCCGTTTACTAACTTTCACTCGTTTAAGACATATAACAATTTTACATAATACCCGGGATATTACCATTTAAAATCGTACAAATAACGCTTGACGCGTGATCTATTTGTAACGCGATCTTTGTAATCACGAATGTTTGTAACCATCAGTTCCTTTTTTTCAAAAAATTTGGCCAAAATTACACCAAAGAGTTCTAAAATGGATAATTAACTTGACTGAATAGATAAAAAACGGCTCTGTTGCTTGACCATGTCCCAAACCTTATCATCGTCCTAAATTATCGGCCCAATCTAATAATGCCTTGAGACTGTACCAACGATGATCTCCTAATTTAGGCCGATGGTAAGTTTGGGACAAGATTTGGTCTACAACAGCTCCACCGCCGACGACGAAAGGCTCGACAAATTTTTCGTAAGTTCTCTGCCAGAAATTCGGCCAGAATTATGCAAGCAATTTTTTTTTTTTTTTTTTT